AGACGCAAAATGATGGCCTGTGTAATACGAAATTATTGCCATTTCAATAGCATAAATTGATTTTCGTGAGATTGTATTTTATTTTATTTAGCTCATGCTAACTTAACACGAGGACTATTAATATAATTGTAGTTTGACCAGGATTGAAACCCCTGTGACTGGCTCACCACATGGGCGTTTTCGTGAATTTACCTATATGTAACACAAATACAAGATAGTTTTCCTTCGAAAGTCTTCCACGAAGCATACTTTATTTAGACAGATCGCCCTTTGCTTGTTTTATCATAATCTAACAAACCAAACTAAACCTAATCCCCAACGAGGACTAGTACTCAGATGAGATTTCGTGAAGGACTTTTTAAATGAGATTGGCGTATTAGGCAGCAAAAAGTCCACGAAAACTTCCAGGTAGCCAGCCCATTCGCCGGGATTTAAACTCGCTTCAAACTGCCAATTTCTACTGGGTCGCTGCGGGCTTTTGTTGAATCTTTATCAAAAATCTTTGCAAAGTAATCGCGAACACACAGTTATTGGTTTTTAATTTGATTTGGTTTTATGTGACTAAAGCAAAGCTTCGAGTGCTATCTGCCTAAGAGGAGGGATGCCTTCGTGGAGGACTTTCTAATAGACACTGGCTCGTATACACGTTACACTTGGCGAAAACCATGAGAACGCCCATGCAGCCAGCTCATTTACGAGATTCGAACCTCAGACCGAACTACAGCGATTTTACCGCTCGGCTGCTGGCGGGACAAAATTATTGAGTACCAACGGATTAATAGCTTAATAACTTTCATTTGTAGTGCTACTATCAGCATTGACATTTGGAGAGGTTTTTTTTAATGTAATTAAGTTAATTCGTTAGCTAATTGTTCCTCTGACTAATTTTTTGTGCGCAATATATGGAACCCTTCCATACACTAACTGTTTTACTTAACTTACACTCCGTTAATTTTATGCGATTTTATACCGGTAGATTTCTTTCCAAAAACGCGTACTTTTTCCCCTAGATTTTAAAACTATTTTGTATTTCAAATCTTAATAATAAAATTTTTAAAAACAAATATTTCTAGAAATTCTTGCAGCATATGAATTTATTTGATTTAATTGAAGTTTTCGAGTAGAATATCTTCCTTTTGACATCCAAGAAATTTTTATATGTCAGTTCGCGTTTATAAGGAACACACAGCCACATATACGAATACAAAAATTAGGCATACTGAAAGCACAGTTTTAACATTTCAAAATGTAAAAAGGAAAAATATACCATTAAAAACACTCGCACTTGAAATACGAGAGCAAACAAGATAGGTGTTTGCAACATTTTATATTTTATCCTATTCTTGACGAATCAGAAATTGTAGTCAACTTTTAATACATTGTACAATATATGATTTATTAAAAAGTACGTCTTATGTTACAATTGTTACTTTTTCCTGTTTCTTCTAAATTTCGGTAATGTACTATAACAATGAGTGATTCTGTTTGACTTTCATTTGTATAAATAACCACAAGGCAAACTGTTGTAAAACGATTCATAAGCTTGCAGTCGTCGGAAACATAATGCACACTTGCTGTCTGACAGTGATTCTTCACTCTCAGGACCCTTCCGTAAGGTGTTCTTTTCAAACAGACTTCACACTCTATTAAGACCTTTGTGTCAACTGACAGCCGCCTGCAGAAAGGTAGGGGAAGGAAGACCTGACCGCATCGTCTAAACACGTCTTAAGCAATTTTCGCGAAATTTGGGCTTCATGTATACACGTCTTAAACATTTTTCATTCGATTTGAAATTCGTGTAAACACGTCTAAAGCATTTTTAAAGGAAACTCCGAAAACGTTTAAACACGTCTTAAGCAGTTAAAGGGTTAATGGGCATTTGGTGATACGCCCGCTCAAGATCAAGGGTTGTAAAAATAGCTTTTCCCTCTAAAACTTGCATACAGTCTTGAATGTGTGGGACTGAGTAACGATCAGGAATTTTAGCTGCATTTAACCGGCGATAATCACCACACGGGCGCCAGTTACCATTCCGTTTCCGAACTAGATGGAGCGGACTGGCCCATGAACTTTTTGACTTACGGCAAATACCCGTATTGAAATTCCTCTTTGGCGGCTTTAAGCTTGTCCGGAGGTAAGCGTGTTGGTTTAGAGGTAATTGGAGGTCCGGTAGTTTGAATATAATGTAGTACATCCTGCTTGGTTTCAGAAATACCCATAACTGGGTGCGTGATTGTAGGGAATTCTCTGAGAAGTTGATACCATGGGGAGTTACCCGAAATCAGTTTAATGCTCAAAGCTTCACTATTGCGAATTACTCCCGGATACGTTAAGTTGGCTGTGGAATCTATCAAACGGCTATTCTTAAGATCGACAAGCAAAGAAACTTTTTGTAAAAAGTCAGCTCCAATTATAGGACTTGAAACAGTAGCAATAATGAATGGCCATTGGAAATTACGGCGCAAACCTAAATCAACAGATATCAGGCGTTCACCAAAAGTTTGAATAGGAGTTCCATTTGCTGCATAAAGTTGTAACTTGGTAAGGTGCTTTTTTCGGGAAAATTTGGTGGAACGACAGAAACATCATCCCCGGTGTCTACAAGAAACTTTAAGCCCGAATTCTTATCGATGACGAAAAGGCTTGCAAAACTCCGGCCGCTGTCGTTTACGACTTCAAGCGACGGCCCTTCTCGTTTCCCTGGTCGTTATAATGACACGGTGGGCGGCATTTGTTTGCCTTGTTTCCAAATTTGTGGCGGTAAAAACAACTCGGAGGAGGCTTTCATAACGTTTCTTCAGTGGGCTATGACGTGTATTTCGACCACGTGATGTGGAGCGGTTATGCTGAAAAGGTTCAATTTGGATGGCTACTAACTGAGCAACCCATTCGGACAAATCATCAATTTGAGCCTGTAACGCCACAATACCTGGACCAGGAGCCTGCGCTGCGTGTATTTGCGCTGGAATGGCTAGCTCGTGAATTTTATCATCGAATTCGGATAGATCTTTAAGTGGCTCGCTACTGGCTGCTAAAATGGTTTGCATGATAGATGGAAGTCTATTCATCCATAATATTTTAAGAATGTTATCCGTTAGGTTACCGGGGGCTAAGTCTGACATTTTAGACAGCAATTGAGAAGCCCTAATATCACCCAACTGTAAATCGTGCAACAGTTACTTGATTTTAACTGTCTCGGATTCTTCATAAACAGAAATTAATTTTTTTAAAGATTTGTATTTGTCCTTCACCGGTGGATTCAAAATTATTTCACGAGCTAGTTGCAGTACCTCTGATTCTAACGCGGGGATCGCTGTATAAAATTGAGTTTCGTCGGCAATAATGTGACTCAATTTAAACTGCGCATCCAATTGAACGAACTATAACGGTGGGTCTCGGCGACAAAAAGGCGGTGGCTTAACTGCCACTCGCGCCAATTGTGAAGCAGATCGTTGTCAACCATTTTAGATCAATCAAATATGCCCAATAATAATATGTGTACGATCCGTTGTTAAAAATAGTGGACTGTAAATTGACTTGATATTACTTCAGTATAGAACCCAAAAAACCTCAGAGTCATAACGTTGACCTAAACTTCTTTATTGACTTTCAAACAGTATGTTAGTTGAGGAACGGCGAAGACCACACAAACTCCGACTTCAGTGGCGGCTTACCAACACAAACTCCAAAGAACCTCTGCTTAGTTGAAACTCCAGTAATTCACAGCAACCTCAAAGCTCTAAACGCGAGCTTTAAAAACCTAACAAATTTGCGTCTGCGCCGCTCCTCGGTACAAAGAAAATGTATAGAATATTTGCAATAATAATATGTATAGAATATGTGCAATAATAATATGTGTATAGAAAAATAATCAATATGTATATAGTGAAACAGTTTCTTGGGACTTGAAAACAGAGAACTTGGCGGCTCAAATGCAGCAGACGATACATATATCCGCTAAAATTATGACATAAATATGTTGTCTCACCGGAATGAGGAACAACGCTTGAAACAAAGGTGAAATATCTTACTTGCATCTCATCAAACTGGATAACTTACTGTCGCTCAGAATTTTGATATTTAAACTCCATATTCATGCAACATTGTAGGTTGCTATTCGTAATAAATACGGTCACCAATTGTGGTAATACAATTTTTATTATGGTAGTACAATAATTGAGACAGATAATTAATAATCATAACAATAAAATAGAATAAAATATTATTTTGTCTTTTGTTGCTATAGGTTACCAGACAGGCTGCGTTGAGTTGTAGTAGGAAAGTCGCCACAGTTAGCATCAAATGCGTTATTTCTATCGGGAAACACTTGAAGGTTGTTCGCAAATCTTAATAAATATCCATTACGTACACTTGCAAAAACTATCCGTGACTTCCACTATCTTCAGTTTAGCTCTAAAACGACAGTCAGAAACTTAAACAGCAGCTACACAGCTGATGGAAAAATTAACCTCTGTAATGATCGAGGCGATGACACCAGACTCGCTCTCTGTCGAGTAGATAGCAAAAAACAGCCGTTCTTCCATCTCGACGGTGTCCAGACTATAGGCACTGCTAACTGCAGGGAGATTTTCGCTGTAGATTATTGAATTTTCATGAGTTTTTCACTTGAATGCAAGTCACGGAAAATATCTCGATTTTTATAAATATCCCTTAATTTTGTGTTTAATTGAGGTTACTTTTACTAATTACGTATAATAGAGGCAAAATTATTTTCTGGGTCGAAAATTAATTTTGTAGTTGCACACAGGCGAGCTTGAATGCTGGGAAGAAATTTGGATGGGATTCTCTTCTGTTTTCTTAGCGCCATTGATTTCTTTTATCACATCATTTTACGGCGAAACCTGAATGATTTTAATAATGTGAAATTTCTAATTAATTTGTGAAATTTCTTTTAGTAAATGTTTTTCAGCGACATCTATCAGCGAATTTCTGTAACTCTTTCTGTAGCAGGAAGATAACAACTCTACTCCTGATTGACTTGGCCAAGTTATTCCTTCTGAAAAGCGCGTTATAGTATTGTTTTAAATTTTAAAGGAAAAGATGTAAAATAATGTTCCTAGCGTTTACAGATTTCTTAACAGAAGACCCGGAGAAAGAGCAGAAAACATCGCATTCTGGCATATGAAGCTTTCTTTGAAGAAATTTTGGACATTGTTGTTAGTCATCACTCTGCCGTTTCAGCAAAGGTATCTTACTTGAAATCGGGAGCGATTTCTCTTATTTATATACCAAAGTCTTTTTTATTATATTAAGAAGTTTAGAAGTGTATTTTTTTAGAAGAAGTTTTAAAAATATCCTGTCTGTTGGAATGTGGTTGATTTATGTGTCTCATATCGAACTTAATGTGTGTGGTCAGTTCACCTCTGCTCAACCCTGAAACGTATCTCCGTTGCTGGTACTTCTCTGGAATAATGTTGCTGCTATCTCAGTTTTTCACTTGTGGGAGAAATCAAGGGGGTTCGTTTTTCCTGTCCATTCCCAAAAATTTAATAAATTATCAGTCAAGTGCGTATGTTGGCAAGTGCATTAATTCTCTCTTTCTGTATAAGTCTAAAAGACGATACGCTATATTCGATTTTAGTTGAGAGTATCTAGCATCTATAAAAATATGTGAAGTTGTATATAATGTCGTCTGCATTGGAAGTCTAAAAGTAAATATATAGCAGAATCTTCTGGAGGAAAATGTACAGATTCAATGGCAGTCCTCATGTCGTTTTCTTCTTATTATTTTCATGAAGGTAAACACCAGTACAATGGAAAAAAAAAAAGGCTTATTGTCTTGCTGTTTATACCTCCCTCTCATAGGCAATGTATAGTATTCTAAATGGAATATTCCTTCAGGTAGTCGTATAAATCTGAAGATCTTTCAGGAAAGCAGTATCGTGGACTGTCTAACCCGTAATACTTCACGCTGAAGAATTACATGTATTTTAGGTGTCCCATTCAAAATTCATCCATTAATGGACTGCAAAAAAGTGCTTTAAGTAATGATGTAGTGCTTTTATTTTGGAAGTTCCTAAAATTAATATTCCAAGAAGAAAATAATCAGGATTGCCTGTAAAATTCATTTACTGAGAAGAAAATGCACTGAAATGAGAATGAGAAGATTATTTTCAAGATTGGTATGAAAGTAAACTGCACATTGCCATTCCGTCCTTTACGAGCATTTTGCAGAAGAGTTGATGCTATGTTTTCCAAGTTCATCATACTTCCTGGGATACTAATCCGACAGCGCAGAAATTGACATTTTTTTTGTGTTTGAGTCACCGGAAAAGATGCATAGGAACATTATCCTGTAATGGTGATAAAAAGTATTATTTAAATCCTGTAAAAGAGTGGATTGCAACATGATTACGTAATGAACTTTTTTTGTATCGTTACATTTTTATGCTAGTAAAAAAGTCTTAGTTTTCTTTTAAACATTCTTAAACATTTCCTAATTAAATATTAAGTATAATTTGAAAAATATTTTTTGACAAACGCAAAGTATTTAAAAACTTTGTATTATACATATGAATAGGAATTTAATTATTTATCATAGATTCGATTTAATGTATTTATTATATAATGATAAATAATTTTTATAGAAACGTACATAAATGGCAGATTTAGCAAGTCAGAAATAATAAACTACCTTTTGTTATAATTTTATATGCTTCCTTACATCAAGCAAATTTGGAAAATATATTTCCTAGAGATTAGAACATGAAAACTGCATAAAAATTTAATTTTGCTGTAACGTTTTAAATAATAGTTTATTGTAAGATTTTCAATATTTTTACAGCATTTTATGTGGGTACTATATAATACTAATCTTTTAATACTTTTCTAAAAGTAATATAAATAAAGTTTGTTACCATTGATGAATTCCTTTGAATGTTAAAAACTAATAAATGAAAAAGTAGTTAGTTTAAAAAAATATGTTAAAAGAATTTGCTAGGTTGTTTATCTATGATCAATATTTCAGTTACTAATTAGAAAATTGTACCTCTGAAATAAAAATTCAATGGACAGTGTTTTATCTGTGATACATATATATTCATTCAATTTTATAGTTAATTTAATAAGGAATTTTACTTTTAAACGCCAGAATTGTATTTTATGTTATATTAATGAAATATACTTATATATACTATCTTTGAAAAGACTTAAATAAGGTATATTGTGCATTATAGAAGATTAATATATTCTTGATTTTTTTTTTTTTTTTTTTTTTTTTTTTTTTTGTGTTATATCACTTAAGGATACTTATATATTTAAAACCAGATGGTGCAGTGAGAAAATTGGTTGAAGCAGAAGGATAGAAAACAGAAATCTAGTCATTAGTAGTCTCCAAATATTAATGACTTGTTTTAAATTTTTGATGGTATCTTGCAACATTTTTTAAATTAAGTTTGCTAATGTTTTGTTCTTTAAAAGCGTGTGTGTGTGTTTATTTCCAGTATTATAGATATTACACAAAATAGATTTAATAGTAATGCAATATAGAAGTGTTACTTTTTATATGTTTAGTTTTTTTGTTTGGCAGGCTATGTGTAATTTTTAAAATATAATTATGATTAATCTGATTGTTACAGGAGCTTTAATGAAATATATATTTGTAAAGCTTTTAAAACCAAACTCTTTTAATAGTTTTTAGGCACATGTTATGTGATTGTTTCTAAAAATATATAATATTTTTTTAATATCTAAGATGTAATGTTTTTTCTATATGAATGCCGTGAAAATGATTGTGTCTTAGAATTGAAGCCTTTTATAATCGTAGATATTTTTCCATTTAGTATTTATTTTGAATAATAAATTTTTCCATATTACTAACAAAAGACGCTGAGCACTGGAAGTTCGGTCCGAGGTTTGAATCCCGCAAACTGGCTGGCTGCATGGGCATTTTTGTGGTTTTCCCCGTGTGTAACGTGTATACAAGCCAGTTTCACTTAAGTCCTCCATGAGGGCATCCTTTCCTTTAGGCAAATAACCCTTGTGTGCTCTGCCATAATTGAATAACCCTAACCCATATTACTAACATAAATAGGAATTATGTTATTGGTAATAAATCAGGTGGCTTATTAATAAGTATTTATATCTTTTATTTTATTCATTTTATTTTCTTAGAAATAGTTTTTCCCTTTATTGGTGGGATTGAAATTAAGAAATTGAAGTATATGACTACTGAGAAGATTAAGAAATATTTACGTTAGGTTTTTATGAAAAACATTCATGAATATATTACAATTTCTTAGCAGGAAAAATGCTTGAGGGACTTGGCCGAATGATTTTAATTATGTAATGAAAGTGTAAATTATAATGAATAAATGTCGGAACTTTTACTCAGTAGCATGCAATCCTAGGATTGTATGAATTTACATAAAAGTATGAAATTATTATTGTTATTATTTGGAAAGGACATCTGATTAGATAAAATGTACTTTTTAATTTTGAGAAGTGTCTTGTACTGTCATAGACTGTATTTCATCAACAGGCACTTGGTATTACAGTATTCTTTTAAAGATTATATTTGCTTATGGTTTTCAGTCCTTTGTTGTATTTTGTATAATGACATAAAGTGTTTAAAGTAATATAATTCAGTAACTGTAAGGGCTCTAGTGTAGAATTGGGTGCCCCTTCGATTAGCAACAATTTTTTTTTTTAAATTTTGGCGATGAAACCTCACTTCTGGTTGAGAGTTTTAACTTTGTTTTAGCTTCCTAATTTTATTTAAATGAAAATAGATTGATGTGTAGATGGACACAGAATTTGTGCAATTCTTTTATTTCTTATTGTTTGTGTAGCAGCCATCTTGAAATTGTGCCTTCCTGGCGCCGATCTTGGCGTCAAAAAAGAATCACCAAAAAACAAGGGGCACCCAATTGTAAACTTTTACCGATGTAAGATTACAGAAAGCAATACTTCCTTTTCAAATCGAGTACTGTGCTTAGTAGTTAAAACTGGGCATATATAAATGTTCCAATGTGGAAGTTTCAAATTGTCAAATGCTAGTGCAGTGGTCACTTTAATGAAAAAATACTTACGAAGCTGATTTTAGAATGCTGTGGAGGAAATATTAAAGACTTCTACTTAGTTTTCTATGTATTCTTTAGAAATTATATTTTAAAAATACAAGTCTTTCAGAGTAAAATAAACAATTTTTTAACCATGCTGTAAAAAAAAAAAAAAAAAAAAAAAAGCAGAGTGTGTAGTAAGAGTTGCAAAACATTTGTTAAAAATTTATTTAAAACAATCTGCATTTAAACAGTGTAATATATATATATTTTTATTTCATTATTTCCAAATGTTAAGTGAATGGTAATATTTTTGCAGCATTTACTAAAAACATGAATTTTACAATGTAATGAGTAACAGAAATAGGGTAATTTTATTTCTGTCAAATGTAGGGGGAAATAAACTAAGAAATATGCTTTTTTTAAAAAAAATAACTAAGCACCTTAAAAATTGACTAAAAACATTTTTCGGTACTATTCCATTTTGAGGACCGTAAGAAAATTGCAGCGAAAATGTATGCACAAAAGTGCCAAATCTAGCAAATGCGCCCATTTAACAGCACACCAAATCTAGCGTATGCACTGATTTCAGATTGCATAAGTTTATATAGTTCTATATTTCTTAAGACACCATTGAAATACTAGTTTAATTTTTAAATCCTTTTTTGATATCCTATGGTTTTAACAATTTGGGAATTGCCAATGACGAAAAGTCTGCAATAGAATTTTGAGTAAAATGAAGAATCACCCACTGCTTGACGTGTTTTTAAGAATTGCAAATACTCGGTATCCATGTACACATCGACCTATTTTCACTTTTAAAAAAAAAATCCCAGAATGGCGCAAAAATGGCATTGTGCACCCTTGACTTTACCTATGTACACCTCGACCTATTTTCATTTAAAACGGAAAAGAAAATTTACGAAAATCCAATTGTTTTTAACCCTTGTAAAAAGCGGCAAACAAATAAGTGGGCGGTTCTGCACTTGACTGAGAATTTTTTCATAGAAAAGGCATCATTCATTATAGAAAATTATGTTTGAGCAACGAGATGAAACTATGCTTTAGCGATAACTCAGTAGCGAAATAGTGATGCAGGCATCCATTCAGTTATATTTAGCAATTTTTATATAAATTATAATAATGATCTGAAATAATTATTTACTCTTATGCTTTTATTCAGTCATGTTTAGCCTTTCATATATAAATTATAATAATAAAAAAGTATTATATGAAATTAACTTTTCATCTAAATTAAAACATCAATCTTAGATAGTTATTTTCTACATTCAAAAGTCTTTAGTCTGGACTTCGTCGATTCCGGATTATAGATCATCAGTTTAAATCTAGTAAGATGGCATGCAAAAATTATAAAATTAAAATGTGCATGTGTAAATGTATTATGCACATGCGTACATACATATTATGCACATGCATCAACGCATTATGCGTTGACGCATGCGCAGAAAGTTTGTAGCCTTGAGGTTCGGATTATAGATCCTTCTGAATTATTGATGTCCGATTTAACGACTTTTGACTGTATTATACTTTCTTTCTTGCATTAGGGTTGCCGCAATTATTTTTGGCAGCACTGACATCAACAATAGTTTGGCGATTTTTACGGCCCTCAAAACCTAATAGTACCCATTTTTCTTGTTGTAGTTAATATTATATAGTTGTGATTTTAAATGTCTGAAATCATTATTTTTCTGTGTGAAAGTAAAAATCGGTAAATGAAAACTTAATTTAAGTGTAGTGAAAGTTTAAACTTTGAGTTAAGGAAAAAAGGAATTAATAAATTGGTATGTGAAAATATATATGTGAATAAAAATATATGGTATATGAAAATATGCTAAACATTTTTAGGTGAGGTAAAAAAGAGGAATTGATAAATTGGTCCATGAAAATATATTAATAAAAATGTATGATACATGAAAAAATGTTAAAAAATTTTTAGTTGGGGGGGGGAAGAGGAATTGATGAATTGGTATATGAAAATATGCTATTACAATTATATGATATGTGAAAATATGTTAAAAAAATTTTGCCAAAAACATCATAAAAAAGTAAATTTGTAAAAAAAAAAAATTTGAAATTTTTTTTACTTATAAAATTTTTTTCCACATTTGTCTACTTAGACCCTAATTATAACTGTGTGTATAAATAATAGTATTTATTAGTAGTTTTTAGATTCTTTTAAGATGTGTATTTTGCTTGATGATTTTCTTGGTTTTTCATGTGTAACAAATAATTTTCATATTTCTGGACTTGTAGAAAAACTCCCAGAAAAGCAACTTATGAGCTTTTTTGTAACCAGTTTTTCATTCTTATCATGGTTTTATTGAAGAATTAATGC